TGTTTTGAGATACCAAACAAGGTAATTTATTACCAATAGTTAATTAATTAATTGTTGTTGTTTTTTAAAATTGATTCTTGTTTGTAAAATGTACAAAATTTCAGCTTAATCCGAGATTGGGTGTCGGAAAAATAACCTATGACCAGTTAGACAGACAGAGTGAGTTGATAAAAGCTTTATAAACATGCCTGATTTCTTTCCAATGTATTTGTTCTTGTATGTCTATGTTTTCCAGGATGCAATGTTGAAAATGCTTCCTATTCATTGACAATCTGCGCAGAAAGGTCAGCTCTGGTTAAAGCAGTGTCAGAAGGTCACACACGGTTCAAGGCCATCGCTGTCGCCTCGTAAGTCTATTTTAATAGGATGCAAACAAGAATCACACACGCACACACGCACACATCGCGTCTTACGGAAGTCGTGAGACACACGACATGCATTGAATTTAAAAGAGAACCGTAGGTTCCGGGGGTATAAATTGGTAGAGCAGTGTTTATGCACAACGCGTCTCGAGTTCAAAACTCGGAATTTTTAGACATTCTTGTTTGTCAAATGTTTTATATGTTTCAGACGATCCTTCAGAGTTGAAGACAATTTACTTCCTAGTACAAGCCTCCGGGGGCGCGGTGGTTGAGTGGTTAAGTAATTGGCTTCCAAGCCTTGGAACCTGGGTTCGAATCTCGGTGAATTTCGGGATTTTAGGGCGCCCCTGAGTTCACCTCACTCTAATGGGTACCTGGGTTAGGGGAAAGTAAAGGCGGTTGGTCATTGCACTGGGCACATGATTCCCTGCTCATCACAAATAAAATCTGCACTCTATCCAGAAGAATTGAAGGAATTAATTGTAAATGAAATAAATGAGAAATGGACGACCTCTCATCCAAATCACACGAAAGATGACGCTTACTATAAGCTATCCCGACAAGATCAACGTCTAATCTTTCGACTCAGGACCGGACACAACAGAATGCGACAACACATGTAACGGTAGCTCAAAATTGGAACCAGTGAAATCTGCCCATGTGGAGTGTCACCAAAGAATGCTGACCATGTCCATCAAAACTGCTCTCTTTACCTAGAGGCCGGAATAAGACATTAGCCCAAAATCACCCCGATAGAAAGAAAACTATATGGAGAGCTCCCTGATTTGGAAACCACTGCGCAGTTCTTCTCGTGTATTGGTCTCTAGTCATCTGAACACTCCAACATAACAAGGAGAACGATGAAGAAGAACCGTTGGCAAAACGTCATCTGCCCTATAGATTGCAAGGTCTGAAAGGGAAACTTTGCTTTTTTTTTTCTTTACTTTAGTCCAAACCTCCCACAGGGTGTGAACACAGGACCATCGAGACGACGGGACGACAGTCCAGCGGACATACTGTATGACCAGGCAACCATCTGGACCAATACCAGTTCTTGTGGATACCTAATTTCTTTAATGGTAGGAACAGAGTAAACAATCATAACCCTAACCCTAGCTACACCAAAGTTATCAATGTGGATAAACAAATAGACTACAGTAGCAATAACTTTTATAACAAGAAACAATTTTACTAGTATTCTTTTTAAAAAGACAATACCTCCATTATTTAACTTATATCATAATAAAAATAATTTAAAAACATATAATTATAAAAATATTTTTGATTCAATTCGGGTATCGAAACCGTGACACCATCATCTGCTAGCACTTACGAATTTTCTGATTCGGCCAGCGAGAAAGGAGTATTTGTGCGATTATTTATTGATATGTTCATTACATGGACATCTAGATCTAACACTAGACCTAGTTTCTCCATGAAGAAGCGACATGAATAGAGACAATGTGTTCAGCAGTTTCATTGTTGTAACAGAGAGATAACTATTGTTATTCTAACTTGTAAACTTAATGGATTAAAATTGGTAGTATACTTTTTAGTTAGTCAAGTCATACAGATCGTTAATGAATGTTTGATTTGTCTTTTGGTTGAAAGGACCGGAAAAAAGTTGTCAAACAAGATTGTTATGTGATTGTATAACTCAGACATAGATCGTAATTTAAAAAAAAAAATAAGTGTATACTTGGATTCTTTCCAATAACTTCCTTAAAGGAAGATGCTCTCGAAGGCTACATTGGAAGTCAGGCACTGGAAGAAAAAGAAGAATAAGCTTGCGCTTTGCGTATGACATCGATGGTCCGCCAGGGACACAAGGAGGATTAGCTGACTTGGTGAGGCGCATAGGGTATGCAAATCAATGCTGACACTAACGCAAAGTATGACCAGTAGCCAACATGGGTTCACAAGACTAAGGGATAGGTGAATGTGAAAAAAAAAAAAAGATGTATATTTCTTTAAAAATTCTGTATATGTCAGGGATATTTGTATAGATGTTAGGTTTGAATGGATAGTGTCTAGAACTGTAGAAGTCACGCCACTCATCACGGTCTCTTGCTAGTTTTTTAATGGCTTCCCAGTTCTTTCCGGTTCTCTCGGCTTCACCTAGTAATCTGCGTCGCCATGTTCTTTTTGGTCTTCCTCTACGTCATGTGCCCTAGTTTATTCCTGTGGGTGATAGTGTAAGGCTACTTTATTGTGGTCTATTCGTGTGGCTGATCGCGTGTGGCTGATCGCGTGTGGTTATTCGTGTGTAGTTTATTCCTGTGGGTGATAGTGTACGGCTACTTTATTGTGGTCTATTCGTGTGGCTGATCGCGTGTGGCTGATCGCGTGTGGTTATTGGTGTGTAGTTTATTCCTGTGGGTGATAGTGTACGGCTACTTCATTGTGGTCTATTCGTGCGACTGATCGCGTGTGGTTATTGGCGTGTAGTTTATTCCTGTGGGTGATAGTGTAAGGCTACTTTATTGTGGTCTATTCGTGGGGCTGATCGCGTGTGGCTTATCGCGTGTGTAGTTTATTCCTGTGGGTGATAGTGTACGGCTACTTTTTTGTGGTCTATTCGTGTGGCTGATCGCGTGTGGCTGATCGCGTGTGGTTATTGGTGTGTAGTTTATTCCTGTGGGTGATAGTGTACGGCTACTTTATTGTGGTCTATTCGTGTGACTGATCGCGTGTGGCTGATCGCGTGTGGATATTCGTGTGTAGTTTATTCCTGTGGGTGATAGTGTACGGCTACTTCATTGTGGTCTATTCGTGCGGCTGATCGCGTGTGGTTATTGGTGTGTAGTTTATTCCTGTGGGTGATAGTGTAAGGCTACTTTATTGTGGTCTATTCGTGGGGCTGATCGCGTGTGGCTGATCGCGTGTGTAGTTTATTCCTGTGGGTGATAGTGTACGGCTACTTTATTGCGGTCTATTCGTGTGGCTGATCGCGTGTGGCTGATCGCGTGTGGATATTCGTGTGTAGTTTATTCCTGTGGGTGATAGTGTACGGCTACTTTATTGTGGTCTATTCGTGTGGCTGATCGCGTGTGGTTATTGGTGTGTAGTATATTCCTGTGGGTGATAGTGGACGGCTACTTCATTGTGGTCTATTCGTGCGGCTGATCGCGTGTGGTTATTGATGTGTGATTAATTCATGTGTGGTTATTGGTGTGTGGTTAAATTATGTTGCCGGCCATTATTTTTTTTTCACCGTGTGGCTAATCATGTGCACAACATCATTGATGTTAAGCCATCTCAATACCATTGCCATCATCGATATATTATCATCTGTTTCAGTAACATGCCCGACACGTACATTAGTCCATGTGGTGCCTGCCGACAATTTCTCTTGGAGGTAAGTTACCTATGTACTAGGACCATAAAGTCTAACACAGGTAGAAAGTACTCATTAAATACATTATAGATAAAACGTCTCACCAATCGCTGTCGCACAGCCTAATGGCAAACCGTCGTTTTCTTCCACGAATCACTTGAGCTGCAACGATTTTAAACAGTCAAAGGGAAGTAATGCTAGATTCTAAATCGTAGCCAAAAAATTATTTGATTACCGACCTTGGCTCAGTCTATATTATTTTTATATTTTAATCTTTTTAATTTGGGGTTTTGTGCATTACTTGCAGTTTCCCCAAATTCTAAATCTGTGTTTCCCAAACTGCGCTCCTCGGAACCCTAGTATTCCGCGAGGCCTGAATAGATGTTCCCAGATCTATTGGAGTAATTAACTAATATGTCACCATTAGAATTTATCTCTCAAAAAAAAAATAAAAAATAAGCAAAGTGTTCCGCTAAATACTCAGAATGTGCGTAGTGTTCGGTTAAGGAAAAAAGTTTGGGAACCACTGATCTAAACGGTATGGATGGGGCGAAGATACGGGGAAATAAGCGGAGCAAACATTTAGAAGAAGTTGGGTTTTTTTTTGTGAATGTTGTGAAATGATCGCCCACTTTTACGGTAAAAAAAAAATTAAAGGGGTTTGTCTTAAATTACGATTTTCTTACCAAAATTTATTTCAAACTATCAGTTTTGGACACCAATGTTAATGATCTTACATTATATTTGTTTGTTTCTTGCTGGTTTTTTTATAGTGAATAAATGGGTAAATGTTTGGAGTGAGCTTGATACATTAAATGGAGTGGATAATGACAATTTACCTCACAGATACCTTCAAGGCCCTTAACATTCCTAAGAAGATTCTCGTCGCCTGTCAGAAAGCGGTACTGCTGCAGACCTGCCACATCACCAGAAAATTCCTCAGTGGACACTGATTAAGGGACTTCAATGAATTTTGTTTCCCTTTAATTAACGAAGGTCGACCCTCAGTGCCAGAGAATAAAGATTAGTTTGTTTTTAACGCAATAATAATAACCTGGCATCACTAGCTAAGACGATTTAAAAGCCCGACTAAAATAAAGGCAAATGTATTCACTATTAAAGCATCAGACCCGAACCTCTTACAAATTGGTTTTTAATTTACATTTTATTAATAAATATATAAATAGATTTTGATTATTTTCTTACACTTTACTCTTTACAGTTAGAACTAAAAAAAAAACAACTCATGAGAACTTAAAACTTTGAAGTTAACGAATTAAAAAAAATCTTAATTAGTTAAGAGGGGGGGGGGGGGGATCTACTGAAAACTGGAAAACATGACTAGGGGTCTAGCATACGATTTGAGAGCCACGCAATTGAATCATAATACTGAGCATACTTTATACTGTTTTCGGTTGCAACGAGGTCAGTTCTTTCAGGTTTCTATCTGTGGGACATTTAATTTATGAAATAATAAAAGGGAAGTAGATTACAAATATTTTAACTTATTTTTCTATGCAAAAAAAAAAAAAAAAAAAAGATTAAACACCTAAGATAAGATAAGATAATTTTAATTGGTCCAATCAAAGTTCAGTTTGACTACAATTGACAACCTCAGCGTAACTAGTGTAACAATTACAATATAGATGCAAGTACGAACAACATTCACACACGAAACCCATACACACTCACAACCAGCGCTCTATGAGTTAGACTTCTATGACGACTGATGACCTACAAACACTCTGACCGGAAGTGGGATAAAGGAGTTTTTAAATTTTTCTGTTTTAGTCCTAATGGAAAGGAGACGACCACTTCGTTCAGATCTTATGCAACAGTGGTTTAATGGGTGCAGGTTGTCTTTGAGAATCGTGTGTGTTTTGGAAAGGCATCTTACATTTTCTGTTCTTGAAATGACTCTTTTTAAATTTTGCGTCTGGATTCCATTTTATTCTGTATAGCATTATATATTTTATTAATATAAATGAAATGTGTAACTATTAACCGTAACCTTAACTATTTTTATATCACGAATTTTAATTTCATTTCTCATTACCTTCCATCCTTTTTAATGATGTATTCTCTCTTTTGTCCTAATTGTGCAAATAGTAAAATGTACAATTTCTTATTATAGTTGGAAGAACAAAGATGAGCCATGTAGCATATCTTTACGTATGTACAAAACGTATATTCGTATATTAAGTCACTCTAGGTTACTTTGTATTATACTTCCTATGTCATTCTGTATGTCACACTGTCACTCTGTATGTCACATTGTCTCTCTCTATGTCACTCCCTCTGTCACACTGTCACTCTCTATGTCAAAAACTGAATGATAATGTAAAAGAACCCCCTTTCAGAACTAGCGATCTATAGGGCAGATGATGTAAAGGTCATCTGTTTCTGTGGTCCACTGTTAACAAGAGTGTCATGTGGCCAGCACAACGACCAACCGCCTTTACTTTTCCCCAACTAATGTCAGGTACCCATTAGAGCTGGGTGAACTCAGAGGTGCCCAAAGATCCCAAAATAAAAACAACTCTCTTTCTTCCCCAGGATTCAAACCCAGGACCCCCCAGTTCGGTACCCAAGCACCTTTCTTCACGGCCAGCTCGCCTGCATGTTAATGTAAAGATTCTATGTCAATGTTTTGTTTCGCAGGAATGATTCGTTTTGGTTTTACTCTCCATCTACAGTTTGGGAAGGACTACGACGTGTACATGACCAAACCTGACCTCACGTTTATCAGGTCCAGCCCCATAGAACTGATGCCACATGGATTCACTCCCTTGGATCTTATGTCCTTTGAAAACCCTGGAAATTAGTTGTTGAAATTTACATTTTCTTAATTTTTTTTTGTACCTTTATTACTTTCTCTCCCTCTTCATGTGTGTGTGTGTGTGTGTGTGTGTGAATAAGGAGAGAGTGGTGGGGAGGGAAAAACAAGAGAGAAAGAGAGGGGAGATAAGTAAGTAAAAGAAAGAGGACGTAGAAAAGAGAGAGAGAAAGACGCAAGAACATAAAGTACGAGCCGTGTATGAACAAATATAACTGCGAACCAAATTACCAGATAACAAAACAAAAAAATTTACAAAAAGAAAAAAAAAACAACATGTTTTATATTTAATATATATCAAATGTTTATTTCCTGAATTATTTTAAAACCATCCTTTTTTTTTTTTTATTTATGCTTTCTCTATGACCCCAAAAAATTGAAACTAAAAGAAACATAACTCCTTGTCGTCACTGATCTTGTTCTTTTTAATCAATACAGACGTTACTTCAAAAAAAAAATAATAATTACATCCTCCACGTCATGCATCTAGTCATGCATATTAACCAATGACTTAAATTCTGCCAAGTCACTGATTTTCCTGGCTAGCTCTAATAGCACCAGGGAAGAAAATTTGTCCTAGCATATGGAACGAAGATTGTGCCTTTATCTTTGTGTCTTTCAGAGTATTTTATTAAATTTTGTTATTGTATTTGAAGATTATGGTTCAGTGTTTTATTATTATTGTAACTTTACTTTTGAGTCTTCTATCCTGAAGACTTTCTAAATTTAGTGATTTGACTAAAGGTAAAAGTCATCTGTATGTTCACAGGAGATTAGATCAAGTAAAATATTAGAAATATTTTTAAAAACATTTTAAGGGGAAATACTGCAAAACTACTGACATATCTCTCAATACTGTAAAGTTAAAACTCCCTTTTTCTACATAAAGCAAAATTAATTAATTACCGCTAATCGATTAATTATTATTTTTTATTTAAATTGATTCATGTATTGACATTAACTATGCACTGCGCCGGATACATTCCACAAGGGGGACGACCGTATGCCAAAGGCGATCTTCTTTAGCGAGCTTAAAGAAGCGCGGCGTAAAACATGTGCCGTCCGTACCCACTCTAAAAGTCAGCGCAGGCGCTGTTTTACCTTACCTGGCATAGAGCATAGAAGAAAGTAGCTGGCAGCAGATGACCTTTGAAAGAGAAAGCTGGAGAGTTCTCACAAAACCGCGGGACAAACATGGGGAAAGAAAAGCCCTTTGTTGAAGGAAGGCGCAGAAGAAGAAATTAAAACTTAAATAGACTTCCACCGGACTGCCGCTTTGTCTGCATCAGATTTTAAGGGGAAAAAAATATGCAGGTGGTAACTAACCCCTTTTTTTTTTCACCCACTTCTTAATCTCGGATCAAGTTGAAATCTGGCACAGTTATTCCAAATGTCAATGTGTCTTCGATTCTGCAGATTAAAGGTGATCTTTAAAAAAAAGTAAAAAAAAAAATTTTTTAAAAATGATTGCCGTGTCACATGACTATGCACGTGTAAAATAATCCTTCCATACAGAGAGAGTTAATATAAACTTTGTAAGACCATGTCTACCTGAGTCAATGGCACAGTTTGTTTTCTCCATCGCTTAATTAATAAATCTATTGACTTTCCCGAACTGTGACTGTTCGCGTCACCAAATCCCTTTACAGCTGGTTTTTTTTTTTAGCAGGACATCAAGAGAGAGGCCGGGTCCATTTTTTTTTACATTGTCCAGCAAGGTTTTTTTTTTAGACGACCCTTTCTTTTTCTCCGTCCACTGTACCTTGAAGTATGCAGTGGCGTAGCTAGGGTGGGGGGGGGGGGGGGGAGGAACGGGAAGAATTTGAAAATCCACCCGAGCCCCCAATTGAGAGGGCCGACAAAAAGTTTTAGTTTTTTTTTTACATTAAAAATTAAATCTTATGCAAAATGCAGGGACGACCAAACGATGGAAAAATTCCTAGCTACACCCATGGAAGTATGAACAGTGACTCATGTCTTACAATAGCAATCCATGTTTTAAAGTAGAATAATTTAATGTTTCGAATTGGAATCATAAAACAAGAAAAATATATTTTAAAAAATACATGTAATTAAATTTGTCAGAGATCTAGACTAACAATAATTAATCTGTGTGATTAGAAATATTTTTGTATCGCGCATATTTCAAGCTTTTTAGCTTTCTCAATACGCTAGGATCCTATCACTGGTCTGGACCAGTTGAGAAAGGAGGGGGATGGGAAGGAAGAACGGGGTATCTGTGTGAATGTAACCGTGATCGCTTTAGAAATGCATATTGGTGACCTTGAGATTGTTAAATACTCCATGACACAGATTACGTCACTATGAACTCAATGCTGGAAAGGCTAAATGCACTAAACAACAAAGTTCATCTATACACACCAATCCAAGATCTACAGGAAAACATAAAGCAGCATCAGCACTTGCGTAGAACTGAAAATCTTAGAAGTACCCTACCGCCCTCGCCATTAAAGGGAGATTGAACGCAGTGTATGCATATCCGTCCACTACAACCGCTAATAAAATCCTTTCCCTCCTTCATGCTGCCTCTGGCTAAATCGGAACTCTTCATTTGTTGACACAAGCTGACTTCCGCTCCTACAACACATCCCCCTGTTAGTAAAGGTCTACCTTACTGCGTCGCCCGTTTCCTTGACAACGCTTTTCTCTTCCGGTCTGTTGCCCCATAGATTTCCATTCCAACCGTTTAAACCTCCTAGTGGCTTGGTTGCGTCTACGGAAACCTAATAGGAATACATGAAATGGAAGGGAGTCTATGACCAATCGAATTTTTTCTCGGAAAGTGTTTTATATTTACGGGCTCTGTCTATTTGTATTCAAACTAGGTTCACCTTTTTTGTACACTGTTTTAAGCAAAGAAATAAAAATAGTTCGTAATATTATTATAGTGCATAACCGTAGAAACGAAGATTAGGTGTAAAAATTACTTAAGTAATGAAGGTCCTAGTATACTATTCCTATCGTTTGAACAGAATGTGCCATCAAGTAAAATAATAAACAACATCATAGATAGTGAGGGGAATAAAGTAGATAATTATGAAGATAATAAGAATATTTTCACAAAACACTTCACTACTATATACAGTGAAGAGCCAGTATATACTGATGCTCAAGATAATTTTCTAAAATTTTGCAAGACAGATGAAGATCTTTTAGGGAGTGCATTTACGCTAGACGAACTCAGGACTGCCCTGGACTCGACTAAGAACAATAAATCACCCGGTCCAGATGGCTTAACCTTTGAACTCTATAAAACCTTCTTCCCCCTGCTGGGTCCTCTCTTACTGCGACTATACAGCGACGCCATTAGACTGGGACAATTTCCGTCAAATTTTAACGAAGCATACATCACACTTTTACCAAAGAAATCTGAAAATAACACTTCACCTAGCGACTATAGGCCCATTTCACTTCTCAATACCGACTATAAACTTCTCACAAAAATGATTTTCCTAAGAATGAAACCTCTCATAAACCAACTTATAGGATATGACCAGTACTGTTGTATCCCTGACAGAAACATAGACGGCATGACGCATTTTTTACGGGATTTTATCATGTACAGTAAGGATAAAAACCTCAATGTGTCTCTTTTATCTGTAGATCAAGAAAAAGCCTTTGACCGAGTAAGCCATAGCTTCTTGTTCAATGTTCTTGAGAAATGTAAAATAAGTTCCCTGTT